CTAGTAGTATGTGTTTATAGGTTGTCATTACTAAACATTTCTAAAGGTGACTTTAAAACCTAATGAGCCAAGCCTAATGTGACCTAGGAAGTATCTGTACTCTTCTATCCCTTTTACAATACCTCATGTCTCAGAATCATAGGAATAGCAGCAGGAACCAGGGGCGTAACTAGAAATCACAGGGCCCCATAGCAAAATTTTGTATGGGGCCCCGTGATTGCTAGTTATGCCACTTGCAGAGCCATAGACTCTCTATAGTGGGCTCTGCAGGGTCTGAGATCTCTTACCTGTCAGCGCCTCTTTGGTCGCCGGGCCCCAACTCCTCTGCTATAGATGGGCCCGCCTTCTCTTACATCACTGGCTCCACCTGCTCTTAGGTCGCTGGCCAGTGATGTAAGAGGAGACGGGCCCCGCCTCCTCCATTCCGAACACCGCCCTCATCTGCCGCAGCGGCTGGCTGTCACTGACACAGCTCAACAGCGGCTATGAGGGGGAAATGCACCATGGCCGCTGCTGTGTCTGTGACAGCCAGCACCCCCACATGCCATAGCAACCCAGGCGGCCCTGGCCGGGCCCCATAGCGGCCGACTGGGTCACTATGGCGATTGTTACGCCACTGGCAGGAATATTATTATTTTCTTCTGTTGTGTACTGAAAGGACTCGTGGTCCAGGCCAAAAGGCATCAGTGAAGTAAGAATCCATACAGAACTTATTTGAGAAGCAAGTGGCCTTGTACTGTATATTCTGTGTTTAGGTGAACACACCACCAGCAAATGGCTGAAGCATGGATGTGGCTGGATGACCTTCTGTTATTAAGCTGCAAGCTGTCACTACCACACCACAGCAGTTGTTGCTGCCACTCACACTTCCTATATCCATGTCCTAATCATCCTACACATAGCAGAACTATCACACCAGACTGACTCGCAGTTATTGCACTCTCAGATATTGAAGACATGGATTCCATAGATCACACCAAGGCTAGGCGCTTTCCTTTATCTTTTACTGGAACAAAACTACCAGGCTTTTTTTACAACCTAGGTAAAAACATATCTAAACCCAAGAACAATCTATATCTTGCCGTTTACTAGCCTATAGATGTGGTGCCTGCGTTAGTTTTCTTTTCTAGGCTTTATTGTCACATGGAGATCCTGTCAGTAAACCATTTCCTGTCCTAGGGTGACAACGATTACTCATCATACTGTATTTATTTTTATAGAGTTGTCACCCCCACACTGCTCTCACCTGAATTGACTAAAGAACACCTCAATAAGATTGGTGGGGTGCTCTGCAGTTTAATGTAGTGACATTGGTGGGGCTCATAACACTGTTTGAGATTTCTGTGACAATGAAACTGCCACAGGTCAGCTCAGTAGATCGGGAAGTGAGCGAACACATAGCGTCGCTCGCTCACTTCTCGATCTATCCCTGCAGAGAGCCGTGACTGTCACTCACGACTCCCTGCAGGGATTCCCCCCGTCCGATCCTCCAGCGCTGACTGGCGGAATGGATGGGGCAGGGGGCGGGCACAGCTGGCTCTGCCTCTAGATAGGCAGAGCCAGCTGTCACTCACCCAGCTGGGTGGATGCAGACAGCATTGTCGGGATCCGTCCCGGCTGCGGCGTCTCAGTATACCGCGAACTGTAGCTCATGATATACTGAGCTTAGGGTAACGGGAGGACGCTAGTATATGTCCTCCCGTTACCCTAAGGAGAACTATGGGGGAAAAACACTGACCCCATAGTTCTCCTTTAAGCACTATTTCTGCTTATTGCTATGCGTCCAGCTTATGTGATCTATAAATCAATATATGCTACTGAATTGAATGTAACAAGTTTCTTTTTATAGAATGTATAAAAGATGAGCACTTCTTACAGGGTCCGAATTCTTGCTTGACAGAGCCTGACGGATCAATGGGCTATTGCCAGAAAATGACACAACCCATCTATACAGCTGTACCAATGTTCCTATGAATTGTTTCCATTGACACTTGTCTCTGGCTCGGCTTCCATGGACAGAATATGCAGAAAGCAAACATTTACAAGCAGCGGAATGCAACCAACCTTAATATACAGGTTTTATACCAGACGTATCTCCTAATTTTCTGAAGGAATATATAAGCTGCTGTACTGCACTGTTTCTGAAAATGCTAGCTGCCTGGCTGTGTCTGGCATTAACCTTTTCTGAGTCACGGACCCAGAACCAGTATGCAGATCACAAAAGTCACAAGTCCTGATTTACAGTTCTAGTTCAGTGACCTAGGATGAACTGAAGTCATTAAAGTGATATTAAAGTCAAATGTGTTTACGTTATTTCACATGCTGATGAAATCACTTACAATGGGTGCTGCTCCTTGATATTTAAAAGTTTTAGTTTCCTGTAGAATCAGCTGGTCCCCCTGAGCACTGGTCCTGATATCCTGTTTTAGGGTGGCTCCTTTCCATTGCAGGGTCCTATGGAGTCACCCTTGTGTGTGCTAGTAAGCTATGTATGTGTCTCCACAAACACACAGGCACATCAAGGCAAGCTGCTCTCCTGCTCCCTGTTCCTTCCTCCCTTCCACCTTCTCTTAACTGGTAGATTGACAGCTGCTGGAGACTGCTCTGTACCTTGTTAACTTGTACCGGACAGGAAGTTCAAGGAAGCCGAGCTGAGAGAGTTGGAGCTAATCAGGACCTAAGTGCTTGGCTGAATATATGAACAAAAACATTTCTGGGCAATGTATATTTGTTTCATCTCAATTCATTATTATAGTCACTCACCCAGCTGGGTGGATGCAGACAGCATTGTCGGGATCCGTCCCGGCTGCGGCGTCTCAGTATACCGCGAACTGTAGCTCATGATATACTGAGCTTAGGGTAACGGGAGGACGCTAGTATATGTCCTCCCGTTACCCTAAGGAGAACTATGGGGGAAAAACACTGACCCCATAGTTCTCCTTTAAGCACTATTTCTGCTTATTGCTATGCGTCCAGCTTATGTGATCTATAAATCAATATATGCTACTGAATTGAATGTAACAAGTTTCTTTTTATAGAATGTATAAAAGATGAGCACTTCTTACAGGGTCCGAATTCTTGCTTGACAGAGCCTGACGGATCAATGGGCTATTGCCAGAAAATGACACAACCCATCTATACAGCTGTACCAATGTTCCTATGAATTGTTTCCATTGACACTTGTCTCTGGCTCGGCTTCCATGGACAGAATATGCAGAAAGCAAACATTTACAAGCAGCGGAATGCAACCAACCTTAATATACAGGTTTTATACCAGACGTATCTCCTAATTTTCTGAAGGAATATATAAGCTGCTGTACTGCACTGTTTCTGAAAATGCTAGCTGCCTGGCTGTGTCTGGCATTAACCTTTTCTGAGTCACGGACCCAGAACCAGTATGCAGATCACAAAAGTCACAAGTCCTGATTTACAGTTCTAGTTCAGTGACCTAGGATGAACTGAAGTCATTAAAGTGATATTAAAGTCAAATGTGTTTACGTTATTTCACATGCTGATGAAATCACTTACAATGGGTGCTGCTCCTTGATATTTAAAAGTTTTAGTTTCCTGTAGAATCAGCTGGTCCCCCTGAGCACTGGTCCTGATATCCTGTTTTAGGGTGGCTCCTTTCCATTGCAGGGTCCTATGGAGTCACCCTTGTGTGTGCTAGTAAGCTATGTATGTGTCTCCACAAACACACAGGCACATCAAGGCAAGCTGCTCTCCTGCTCCCTGTTCCTTCCTCCCTTCCACCTTCTCTTAACTGGTAGATTGACAGCTGCTGGAGACTGCTCTGTACCTTGTTAACTTGTACCGGACAGGAAGTTCAAGGAAGCCGAGCTGAGAGAGTTGGAGCTAATCAGGACCTAAGTGCTTGGCTGAATATATGAACAAAAACATTTCTGGGCAATGTATATTTGTTTCATCTCAATTCATTATTATGGGGAAAAAAAGGTTTTTAGAACTGAGTAGTACTTTAAATCAGCAGGACAGCCATGGACCTGTCCATGTGACGGCAGTTGGGATACAGTCCATTACAGAAGCTATCCTTCACTAACAACCATCTTCTCCTCTTAGTTACCAGATTTCTATTGGCTAAAACAAAAACGTCCAGGGCCTGTTCACACACTGACCTGCGTTTTTCTGCACAAGAAAAATTGAGGTCACACCAATGCACAAAACGCGTCTGCAGTCACTGTTTGGCCAACAATTTTCCTCCCGGTCCCTTTGATGTTTCAACGTTTGTTGAGCTGGGTGGGGTAGACGGGGCCACCCAGGCTCGAATTTACAAACGGCTTAACTGTTTATTATTACATGTATGACCAACACAAGAAAGACACACTTGTGTCACAATACTACAAGGTGAAAAGAATCAGAATTTCAAATAACCTTTTATAAGGTCAAGTAGGGATGATCAGCAGAAGCCATAACTCTCCAGAAGTCAAACAGGCCTCTGAAATACCTTGATCTCTGCCCTGTGGACATAAGAACACTTGTGTTTGTCTTTCCCTGCTAGAAGTGACACACACTGAGCCCGCGCTCCCAGCCTGTGTACTCCTGGAGGGATCAGAAGAGGGATCTGTCACCCTGCTAGAAGTGACACACACTGACCCCGTGCTCCCAGCCTGTGTACTCCTGGAGGGGTCTGTCACCCTGCTAGAAGTGACACACACTGACCCTGCTCTCCCAGCCTGTGTACTCCTGGAGTAGGGTTGCCACCTGTCCAGAATTCACCCGGACAGTCCGGGTTTTGAATGCTGTGTCCGGGTTTCAGCTGCCATGAAACCCGGACACCTCATTCAAAAATAAAAGGTGGCAACCCTATCCTGGAGGGATCAGTCACCCTGCTAGAAGTGACACACACTGACCCTGCACTTCCAGCCTGCGTACTCCTGGAGGGATCAGAGGAGGGATCTGTCACCCTGCAAGAAGTGACACACACTGACCCCGCGCTCCCAGCCTGTGCACTCCTGGAGGGATCAGAGGAGGGATCGGTCACCCTGCTAGAAGTGACACACACTGACCCTGCACTTCCAGCCTGTGTACTCCTAGAGGGATCAGAGGAGGGATCTGTCACCTGAGGCGGGGCTCATCTTTGCATATCTTGGGTTGCTTGCTCTCATCAAATTTTCACAACATAAACACATGAAATGTATTCTTGTCCTTTTTCCATGAGCTCAGCCTGGTTGCAGCAATCAGGATCTGGGCAGGTCTCCCTGTGAGCTCTGATCCTCACCATCATCCTTCATGAAAGTTGGCTGCAGCTGTTCAGGACATCCATCCATGTGCTGACTGCTCCTGGGACTCTGCATGATGAATGGATCGGAAGAAATCCATCACTTTGGCTTCATTGTGGATACCATCTCGACCAGCCAGGTAAGGGATCAGAATAATATGAGAATGGGAAGATAGCGGAGAGTGATAATTGCCTGGATATGATCAGATCAGAGCTCTGTGGTGCTCCCGGTACACAGAATGGGATCTTTGTCATGGACTGTGGGGATCTCAGTGCCAACTGTCATCATCTTGTATCCTCTCAGCAAGTCATCTGAACTAGGAAAAACTGAGTGTCCATTGTGAATGTGTCTGCTACAGTGCATAATACTTGTGTTTGATGGTAAATGATACTTGGGTGTAATGATCAGATTTGATGAGTGTCATTTCTAATCTGTATTATTATAATAATGGTGTTTTGAATGGATGACATGCTTGGTTCACGTTGGCCATGATTTTCGTAGCAGTGTGCTTTCAGATGACAGACACGTCCCATGTGCTCTCATACATCCTGGATCATTGTGTGTCCACACCAGAGCTGTACAGGATTCTATAACAATATATTGTCTCATCTACAGTACACATTGTAACATTTTAAGGTCACACATTACAATCTGATTGTACAATAGATCTGAAAGGTATGTAGTGCAAGGGCCCGGCTGATTGGATATAAAACAATTGGATAGATTAGGTTATGTTACATAGGTAAGGTAGATATTAAGCTGGCAATACACTGAGCGAATTTCAGCTGGTTCTTGTCTGCTACCTCCCATCTGACATCATAGATTAAAGATCCCAAAATTGTCATCCGAACAGCACCAGCATCCATAAGATGCATGCATGTTCAGTCGGTAGGGAAGGCGGTTGGGTTGCCACCCGTCTGGTTTTCACCCGGACAGTCCGGTTTTGGAGTCTTGTGCTCGACTGTCCAGCCAGAGGACACTGTGACAGATGCGATCTCAGGAAGCTGCATCTGCCTGAATCCAGATCTTCCTCTGAGCTGCACCTGTCATTGCCTTCTCCTCCTCACTGACACCGTGCTGTCCACCTGCAGACCCCTGGTGAGACACCATAGCCCGCCCAGCCCTTGTGAGAGCCCGCACAGCCCATCTGAGAGCCCGCACAGGCCACCGGGAGACCTCAGGGCACCAACCCAGAACAACACAGAGTATGTAGCTTCATAATATTTTGTATTGCTGTATAATGTATTGCTGGGATTTGTAGTCCTCTATAGACAGTCTCCTTACTCCCTCCCCTGGCTGTCTCTTCTTGCACTTTCTCCTGGCTGCCTCTCCTCGCTCTCTCCTCTATATTCTATAAACAAAATTTTAAAATGTTTTGCGCAAAGCGCTAGAGCAGTGGTTCTCAACCTGTGGGTCGCGACCCAAAAGTGGGTCACAATCCACTGTTGAGGAGGTCACCACATGCTTTGTGCTGAGCTAGGTGAGAGGCTCCTCAGCCACCTCACGAGCAGCAGTGTCAGTTCTCTGGCCGTGCCGCTAGATGGCGCTGCAGCACCTGCAGCCGAGGAGGATCATAGAGAGGGGAGCGGGCGGGAGTGAGGGGAGTTGAATGCTGGCTTGACCACCAGAGAGCCCCACTGGCCACCAGAGAGCCCCATTGACCGCAAGAGAGCCCCACTGAGCTCACATGAGCTACACTGGCCACCCGAGAGCCCACACAGATACTAGTATTGGTGCATTCCTAAATTTTACCATTGGGGGGGTCACCACAACCTGCCAAATGTTACCAAGGGGTCCCAGCCCTAGAAAGGTGGAGAACCACTGCGCTAGAGTGTTCAGGTTTTACTTGAAGAAAAGGTGGCAACCCTAGCCGGCTGTCAGAATACAATAGCCACAGCAGGAGATTCTACCACCCAAGCTGTGCAGTGTGAATGGAAAAATCTGTGAATTTTCCCCCATTCCTGAAAGCTGAACAAAAAAAATATAACAGTGTATACCCAGCTTAAGCTTTATTGTATACATTACAACCCTAAAAGAGATTGCACAATCAAATTGTAATGTATGTGGTGAGCTTACAGTTGATTGTACCAGGATTGTACGGTCAGATTGTAGCGTTTATGGTGAGCCTTACAGGTCATGTCATTGTGTCAGCCATATGTTTGGGGCAGCTGTCTGTCCTTAATGCTTGTTTATGGGCACCTGTAGAGACTGGTAAACTGTTGTGTTCATTGTTAAGTGTGTATGTAGTCGAATTTATGTTTAGTTTAAACTCCTGGTTCTCAGCTGGTGGGTCGTGACCCCATGTTCGGTGGGTTGCTGCATGCCTTCCACTGCACTGAGTGCAGCGTTGTCAGTTCTCATGCCGAGTGGCCATTCAAAATATGCTGCCTGGCGTAGAGTGTCACCCTGAGGTGGGGTGGGCTGGGGGTATAGCCGTAAGGGAGCTCCATTCATACCTGCATTGCTTACAGCTCCCTCGCGTGGCTGGAATGATGTCACAGTCTGGCTCCCGGCACCTCTACAGGGAGTTCAAGGGAGCCGTACAAATAATGCACATATTGATGGAGCTCCGTCACAGCACAGCAGCCCACACTGAACCCCTACATTTTTCTGGGTGTGTGTATGTGTGTGTGAGGATGTCTGCGAGTGTGTGAGATTGTGTTTGTTGTTGTGCGTGTCTGTCAGTGTTTTAATGGCAAACTACCGTACAATCACACCTACTGTTTGGTCTGGTGCTGGAGGTGCATTGCGTTGCCATTAATTTGAATGGCACCCCAAACACTCCTCCCGCCCAGAGTTTGATCGCTTGCACTGGCCTATGCGGTACGGCAATGCCATGCGTTCCAGTGCGCTGCGACTTGAGTCGCGACATAATGACCAAGGACAAATGTGAGTCCTAAGGTTATACAAGGTTGAAAGTCATTGGTTTAAACCCTAGTCAGTTTAATTTGTGTGATGTAGAGAGGAAATGAGAATCTTACCAATTCAATTTTGGATTTCCCATGACTTGTGTGACAATGGTCACTTCCAGGGGGCCACACAAGAGCAGCGCATTGTCATGTGTCAAATTAGGCAGCTCATTCAAAATAAACCGGCTGTAACACACCTCAATGCCTGAAAATTTCAGACCTGCTGCATTTTTTGCAACATACTGCAATGCACATTGAAGAGAAAGTTGGAGTCATCATTGGTGTCAGTGGCTGCAATAATAACCCCCCGCATTGGTGGCAGTTACCAAAACAATCACTCCCAGCATTGGTGTCATTGACCACAATAATAACCCCAGCTTTGGTGTCAGTTACCAAAACAACTGTATGAATCAGGCGTGGGGGGATGACAGCCGCCGACAGACAGACCCAATCTCAGAAGCAAGTTGCTGGAAGACTGCTCAGGTAAGCCTGCACTTTCCCACACATGGTGCTCTATAAATGTATTGCTGGGATTTGTATTCTTCTATAGCTGATGGTACATTGTGCTGTACTGTATATTATACAGAGCAATCTACCATCAGCTATAGAGGAATGCAAATCCCAGCAATACATTATACGCTGTTGTATGTTGGATTTGTATTCCTCTATAGCTGGTGATATTCTGCATTGCGCTGTATAGAGGACTACAAATCCCAGCAATAGTACATTATATAGCGCAATGCAGAATACCACCAGTTATAATGTTCTATGGCTGGGATTTGTTGTATTCCTCTGTAGCTGGTGGTATTCTGCATTGCGCTGTATAGAGGACTACAAATCCCAGCAATAGTACATTATATAGCGCAATGCAGAATACCACCAGTTATAATGTTCTATGGCTGGGATTTGTTGTATTCCTCTGTAGCTGGTGGTATTCTGTATTGTGCTGTATAATGTATTTTTTGCTGGGATTTGTAGTCCTCTATAGCCGGTGACATTCTGCATTGATTGCTGTATGTTACACTTTTCATTTCACTATATTGCACACCAGACTTTTTTTTTTTTTTACTTCCACCGCTCCAAGCTTGCTCCTGTGATGGACTACAATCTCAATACAAACTAGTAGTCCATCACTGGAGCCATTTTTTTATCCGATTAATCAAACTCAATAATCGGCTAACTAATCGATTTTTAAAATAATCGTTAGCTGCAGCTTACATTATAGCCAATGGCAATGCATGGACAAAGCATTGAAAACACACTAAAAATGCAATAATGCATTTTGCAAGTCTCATGTCCATTTTTCTTATGTTCTTGCAGAAGGAAAAGGCATGTAAAATGCACACAATGACCGTTTAACCGTATTCTCTGCTGCTATTGGCTATGTAGAAGCAGCTCTGGATCGAGAGAACCCATTCATCCTGATAGGACAGCATGTGCTCTGGTTGATTCAGCTGGGGGTGGCCGAGGGGAGTGAATTGGAGTGCTGGAACTATACAGCAAGTGTCGGATGGATCCCAGTGGCCACGCACTTCCTGTGGACAGTGGCTAAGGGCGTGTTCACACCATCTCCAGACCAGAACATTTTTTTGTCTGGTCCAAAAACGCATACCCATTCATTCCTATGGTAAAAAGCAAGGCTGGTTTACACCGTTGAGTTCAGTTTCAGAACATTTAAAAATAAGCACTGCATGCACTATTGTTTCTGGTCTGGAACACAACTAAATGCATGTAAATGCATGCAAACACACCAGAACGCACTAGGAAATCAATTTAAAAAAGCACCGGAACGCATAAAAAACACACACACACCTGCATTTCCATAAACGCATCCAGATCTGGTCTGGAGATGGTGAACAAGCCCTAGGACAATATATTTTTCAACAGTGCATGGTCACTGGACACTTTTGGCACTCAGCTGCTATAGGGCAGCCAAGACTTCCACTGCGCACACACAACGCAAGCCTACAAGGTGAGTGTGAGGCTTTCCCTCTCACTTTATAGGTTTGGTTTTTTTTATTACTGGTATGATGTATTCCTCAAAGAGGTGGGACAAATCTGCGGATTCCCATTTCAGCAAAGGATGGATTGATCGGTTTTTTTTATTTTAAATTTGTGTTGCTCTCTGTGTTCCTGTTGAGATTTCCCATCATTTCCTGTTCCAGTGACACCCTGTCCAATACAAGATGTCACTGAGACAGGAAAGTTGTCACACATACTGTACAAAGAG